CAGGCTGTGATTTCTGGTTGAGGGACTCGATCAGTGCTGTGCAAGGCAAGGAAACTATCAGGGCTCCACTCCCATCAGGCCTGGCCTCAGCATCCCGCCTGCTCCTCTGTGTGGCAAAGCAGAGGCTCCTGGTTTGACCAGGGCTGATGGACATTCCCAACTTCCTCGCAAAAGGCCACCACCAACCTCTCAGGTTTTTAAATCTTGACACAGTTGGTGGTGGTGGAGAGGATCAGGAAATTATTCTGCCCCAAAGGATGAAGGACAGAGCGTCTTCCCAGGAAACATGTCTGTGTCCTCATTACTTGTTATTTTTACATATTAAAAGAGCTGGTCGTTAAAAAAAAAGTTATAAAATCATAAAGAAAAAAAAAGAGCTGGCTGTGAAAATGGCATACCAGGCACGAGTCATCACCCCCAGGTAAGTCATTCAAATCCTTGCTGACTTGACGAGGAAGGGCCCAAACCTTTGGCAAAGGTCCCCTGCATCCACTTATTCCAGACACAAAGCCGGTTCTCAGAAACCTCAGTTATGCCCAGGGCAGTGCCTGGGTGGTAAAGTCCCAAAGCCCTTGGCAGGCTCCTGGGAGGGCAGGCATCTGGGTCACCACAGAGACCTGGCTTCTCCACCAAGGATGCTCAGTGTGCCCGCTTGTCCCTGGCTGGTATCAGAGATGATCCTCCTGTGACACAACTGAGTCTCACAGAAGGGGCTTGGGACAGGTTGCTGGGAGCAGACACGGGGTTCAGGGGGACAATCATGTTCAGAGACACTGATGCCCTAGTACGACTCACAGGGACCCTATGGACAACAGATCCGAACCCTGTCCTATATCATCTCTGATACACTTGAACCCACTGCTGCAGTCACTTTGTTAATCCATCTGGTAGAGGATCTTCTTCCCCTTCATTAATCCTCAATCTTTCCAAGCATGATATCCCTCCCTAAGGAACAGCCTCTCCTAGCAACACGCCTAAAGTATAAGAGATGAAGCTTTGCCATCCTTGCCTCCCAGGGGCACTGAGTGCACCTTCTCCAAGACATCCTTGTTTGTTCTTTTGGCAGTGCAGAAGAATTCTTCTCCACCACAACTCAAAGGCCTTAGTCACAGCAAATTCACTGGATGTGACATTCAAGCACAGGAGCTGGGAGCTGAGCTTGCTCAGCAGGAGGGAGGAGGAAGGCCTGCTGAGAGCAGCAGTAATAATAGTAGCTTTTCTCTGCTGGGCGCTCTCTATGTGTCAGCCAGGCACTGTCACAGAGCTTTACAAGTTTTAACTCATTTAATCATCACAACAGTCTGTGAGACATGGATTCTTACCACTATCCCCATGGGAAGGAGGAAGGAGCTGTGGCAAAGGCAGAGTCACCCACTCGAGGCTGATCTGCTGGGTAAACGGCCAAGCCGGGATGTGAACCCGGGAAGTTCAGTTCCAGATCACAGCATCTTTACACGTCTTGACCCTGGACCGCATGAGTGTGAGCTCCTCCCAGCTCAGCCATCCCAAGTACAGAAGAAAAGCTCTGAAAGACCCGGGTTTTAATCTCAGCTCGGCCACATGACTAGCATTATGGTCCTCGAGGGTCTATGAAATCATACTGAACTGGCTTCCTGGCGATGGTGCTGTGAGGAAGAAGTGGGACAACTCACACAAGCACCTAGCACAGGGCATGACACAGAATATGTGCAAAATGAGAAGTTGCCAATGTTGCAATGTGGTCTGTGAACCAGGGTCCACTGGCAGGAGGTACCTAGGGAGGTGAGGAAACAGATGCGGGGAGGAGCTGGTAGCTCACCTCTGCTGCCATCATGAGATTTCAGGCTGTCCTAGATGCCAGGTCCATCCTGGGCACTGGGATGGAAAAGCCACCAGACAAAGCGATGCTGGTAGTGGGGTTTACCATGCAAAATTACTTTCTTAGCCACTGAATCGGGCGTGTTATCCTATCCACAAGGAGACTGACTAGTCTCGTCAATCCACAAGGGGATTGGGTAGCCTTGCCATTAAACTGAGTGGATCCAGCAGTAGAGGGAGTTTCACCAATAGCAAAAGAGAAGTATGCAGTGGATGTCTTTCAGGACGAGACTTCATGAGGCAGGTGGACTTACTGTAGCAGTAGCTATGGCTGAAGCAGAGAGCCAGACAGCCAACATGAGACGGGGCTGACTTTGGAACTGTTACGCTGCTACAGACAGAACCAGAGCTAAGGGCCTTTGTAGAAGTTTTTTAGAAAACTGGGGGTTGGGGTGGTGGTGGTGGTAAGAGCAGAGAGCCAATAATGACAGAACTGAGAACTTTGTAACAGTTGGTCTAAGCTATGTGGCTCAAGGCTGAGGTGCTTACAAGCACATTTTAGAAGTTTTCCTGACTATTCTCCTACAAACCTATACATTTTAATCTTTTAACTTCCCCAATATAGATTTGTTATCTATGGGCAGTTGTATCAGATTTTGGATCTAGTAAAGCTGGAAGATTGGTGTTGAGATGAGTAGAAAGAGGTAAGGGAGCATGGGGGACATGTCTGACCTCATAGGACTTGTTTTTGTGTTGTTGATACTGTGGATGGGGACAATTCCTCTTTGTAAAACTGGTAAAGGTCAGATATTGCTATCCTCAAGTGGTCTTTGCTCTTTTTAAAGTTGGTGTCAGAAAAGGGATTTCTTGCTCCAGACTCATGGAAATTTGGGATTTTTAAAACCAAAATGGATGTCAGAAGAGACTCTGAAGATTGCACTGGAGCGTAGAGAAGCCAAAGCACAAGGAAGAATTCAAGATACTAAAGAGCTGAACA